CGCGCCCCGCGCTATGACCTCCGCCAGCGCTGGGGGCGGCGCCCTGGCCCGCATGGGCGCGGCGCGCGCGCTGCTAGAGGAGGTCATAGCGCGGGGCGCGCGGGGGGCGCGTCGTCCGGCGCCAAAAAACGTGTCCCCGCCCCCTGCGGCCCGCGCGCCCGCAGGCGGGCCGGCCCCCCGCGCGCGTGGCTGTGACGCGTCCAACGAGTGCCTGGCGCCGCGCTCCGCGGACTGCACGCTAGACGACGAGCCCGAGCGCCCGGACGACCTGGACCGCTCCAACGAGTCCTACGCGGACGTGCTGGACGGCTCCTGGAGCGACGGCGAGCACGCGCCGGACGTCCGCGACGGCGGCACTCTCACCCGGCACAGCAAGAACCGGAACAAGCTGGAGTGGACCGACATCAAGTGCACGGCCGTGAAGCCCCTGGAGGAGCTCCCTGCGAACATTGAAGATGCGTCCAGGCGCAGCACGGACACCTGGAACGACAACACGTGCCCCGATGACGTCACATTCCCCACTATCAGTGGCTCGGTCCACATGGTCTCATCAATCCGCAGTGAAGTCGCCGACCACAATTTGACGCTACCAGATTTACTGGAGAAAAGTGAAGCTCCCACGATGTCGTTCTCGCGTCCAGATTTAACCAACAAGCTGGAAGTAGATAGAGACATCCCGCAGTCTCCACTAGTTATGATGATGGACAGTAAACTGGAAGCTGAGCGACTGATGTTGGACAGTATACCAGAGCCGAGCTTCACGTCGCTTGTGGACGACGGGGAACAAAAGTTTGACTCCATTATATCCGCTGCTATAGAGAAGGAAGCAGCGAGACTGGCCGCGCAACTGAAGAGCTCTCACTATGGTATGGAGGCCAGTGTGACGTCACTCACATCCCTCGACCTTGACAATGTCAAGCCGCCCTCAAACCTCGGCAGTTTGCTTTCACTCAGCGCCTCCGGACACTGGGACGAGACTTCCCAAGTTTCAAAGAAATCACAAAAGAGTCGGAAGAAGTCGCTTCCTGTTGCCTTGATGGTAAAACGAGCTCTCAGCAACTCGATGAACCAAGGCAGCTCTGAGCACCTGGACAGCAATCCTGTCAGTTTCCTTGACAACGTGAAGCCTCCTTCAGAAATGGACAACATCGACATGGAGAGCAGTATGATATCTGTGTCCAGTATCGTGTCGGAAGTGGCTGAAGTCAAGGACCGGGTACCCATCGTGTTTGACTTCAAGCAGCCAGTGCAAGACTTCCCTCTGTGCAGCACTTTCACTAATGTCTTCCACGACCTCGACAAAGTTAATCCGCCATCTCTATTCGATGAGATTGCGGAGTCGACGATAGAAGTGGAACCGACCACTGCACAACAAGTGTATGACGACTGCGTGTCCAATACCTTGAACGTAGTCACCGATATCCCATCAGGATCGGAGAACTGTACGCCTATACCGTCAGATATTAGTAGCGTAGAGTCCACACCGAAGAGACAGAGAGATCCGAAATATTTGACCCCGAAAGAAAAGAGACACGTGTCTAAAGATAGATACCAAACATATACCATTACAGATACGGTGGCTGAGAGTGATGTTGTCCTTGAAGTTGAAGAAGAATTTGTCACGTGGACTAAATCAGAGAGCGACCGATCTGACGAGTATGTGACTGCTACGTCAGAGGTAAAGTCGAGGAGGAAACTGAGTGCCAAACAAAGGAGGTTGGAAGACAGAGCTAGGTACCAAACTCAAACTGTTGACATACACACCATCCTACCGCCAGAACCACAACAAAAGGTGGTGGACCCTCACTTGGAGAACTTGAAACAGCGGCTAGCAGCCAAAAAAACTATGAAACAAAAACGTATAGAAGATGCCGAACGATTCCGAACGAGGACTTTGAGCGAAGACATCCCTCCTTCTCCCACGTTTGTAACAAAAGATGCAAACTTTGAAAACGTGGAGACCACCACTGGGTATGACAGCTTGTCCTCCAACGAGCTGAACCACCAGCAAATATCGGACGACAGGCACGACGACGACGTGTTCTCACGGGAAACTGACAGTGGACACAATGAAGACGACTTCGAGCTCAACTCTACACAGATGCAGACCTACACAAAGAGCTTTAGGAATTACTTGCCTGTGATTGAGAGCCCCGCTGCAGTCGACATGTGCGTTGTTTACAATCTTAAAAACATCGAGATGACTGCGTCGTATAAACGCACCGTACAAATGCAATGCGATAAGAATCAGAATCCCAGCAGTAGTGACTTCGCGAGCTACGAGGGCGACAGCAACTCCGAAGATAAAGCACAATCCGAGTCAGACCCGGAGACAGCTCGACCGAAGCCGAAAATTATAAAGCCGGCTCGGCGCGACGAAAGTTTAGACTCCAACGAGTCTTTGGACAAAGAGAATGATACACCTAAAGCTATTAGGGGAAGAAAGAAGGCACTGTATGTCTCGCCGTACAGGCGAAACGTTTCCGCCGCACCCAAAAAGGCCGCGGCCACTCCAACTAAACCCATTCCGAAGAGTGCTCCCCCTAAACCCACGAACCCTGTCAAAGCCCACACTAGTGCCAAAACTCCCAAACCTTCCGTGACTAAAGCATCCAGTGCTACTACTTCCCCTAAAAAATCTCTTACAAAGTCCCCCACTAAATTACAGAAACCAATTTGTATTCCTCCAGTTGCCACAAAACCATTACCTCTCGAACGACAGGGCACATTTACCAAGGAGGAGAGTTCTGTACCCGCTAAGGACTTACCTGTTCCCGTCCCTGATAAAAAGACCACTGCTCCGCGGCCGTCTAAGGGACCCACTCCTAATAAAAACAATACATCTCCTTCAAGGCTTCCACAATTCAACCGCACACGACCTCCTCCTCCCACCAAAGTCAATCAACCCAAGCCTTCAACATCACGGGTCACGAAAAGACCTGAACCGACGATGAAGAACTCTGCTTCCAATCACAGCTTGCAGAGTAATGACAGTGGCAAGACTATCACTATAGCATCGAGAAGTTCGCGACAAGGCAGCACGTCCAGCGTCAACTCGATACAGTCTTCTAAAACGAACTCCAAAGACATCGAGAGTAAAATAGCAAGTTTGTGGAAGAAAGTAGAACAAGTGAAAAAGTTGCCAGCTAAGGCAGAAAAGAAGGTTTGGATCGAAGCTGATAAAACTGAACCACCCAAACTCATCCGGAGCTCTACGTTCGAGGGGCAGCCGAAGGCGCAAGTGTCTTCAGCCCCTAAGCAGAAGTCTGCTATAGGTATAAGAATATCTCAGATACCCAGCTTGCGGCCAAAAACTGCGCCGAGTAAACCCGCAGGGCCAGTGAACAGTGCTAAAAAAACGAACACTAGAATTTTTACTAGGAAACCTGCCGGTGGACAGATTACGTCGTAAATATGCGTGTTATGTGATTATAATGTTCTTATAGTATTATGAGGTCTATGACTAAGATCATTTTAATTCGTGCATGAAATATAATCAAGTGTTTTGTGTGAGAACTGATTGATCACTCAATATTCTATTTGACCTCATGACTACACACAACAATATTGAATTACAATTTCATGTAATATTATTGTAAGGCCTACTACGCATTGTTGTGTAAACTCCGGTCAATTACGATGTATTGTATTAAACTACAATTATTCATACTTCACTATTACAGTTTAACGGAATTGGACCATAATGTACGCGTGAAGAAATTGTAAAATAGCGATAGCATTTCGTTATACTTGCTGTAGTGAACTATATCTCTTGATTATCTTTAAATCATGAGACGTAGCTGTGCTAATTGACAATCAATATGATTTAACACAGTTCCAATATATTTACATCAGTTAATAGGCGAACACTTTCAATCAGATGTTTGAACCTGCATCTTATATTATCACTTAAATGATTATCAACATTACTGATTCAAACATTTCACAAAATTCTAATATAGCTTACTCAAAATTTTCTGAAGCGTTTGATCCGTAATGTCGTGGTACGTACTCTTTGATTAACATATTGTGATACTAACGAAATTATGATTACCATCAACGAAATAAAGTGCAATATTGATTAACAGCTTACTAAACTTCATATGTATTGTAAACATGCACTTATAACACTCGTATAGGAGTACCAGTAATTATAATAAATAAATATTAGTATAACTTGATTCTTGATTGTGAACTTGTTCTAGAGTGAAAATTCAGTTAGTGACCTGTTTTTTATTTCATCATTTACATTGATTTCTTTTGTATATTTGATGCATTTATTCCTATTTTAGAGACTTTATGTTCGAGATTTATTTCGACTGCAATTTTAGTTTTATAAGGAGATATATTGAAAGACATAGTCACAATTCTTTTTATTCGCATAATACTTCATTATTTGTGAATGTATCGAGATCGATAAACTAGAAAATATATTATGTAATAAGGCTTGTTCCTTGTGGAATTATGTCGGCTTATACAGATCATAGTTTATTGATGTATCTCGATTATATTTAAGTCGCGTTCTAACTGCCCGAAAGCAATAACTTGCTAACAATATTGTCATTTAGTGGCAACGTTCCTCTAAATTCTCTTCCAGTCGTAACACTGGAATTTGTAGTAAAAACATGAACGTTTTCTCACTATAAATACTATCGTGTATGGCTATTGTAAATATGTCCCCGCTAAATTATAGTTAAGGTTACCGTTATGCAATTTGTATATTTTTTCATAAAATTTACAATGGAAATGTTCGCTTTGGAGTAAACATTGAGACGCGACGAGGTGGCTCCTCGATTCGAGACGTACGCTCAGAGGTCGCGCATTGTCTCAGTTTTACGTCTAGTCAGTTTTAATGTTAGTTAAGCGGGATTAGAAAATTCGGCGTAAGGAACGTAATTTTTACACAGAAAGTGGATCGCATCGATTGTAACAGTAACTTTAGGATATTATTTAACTGGCTTCCTGTAGTTAGATCGCCTTGCGATTTTCACTTACGAAATATACCTATTTCTGCAGGAAAATCGTAGAACTTTTGTAATAGTAATCGCCAACTATTGCTTTTCTTCCATTCAAAGTATTTTATAGATAGTTTTTGTAAGTAAAAGTTTTAAATCAAAGAGAAACGTTTTCTTGATCGCGATTTACAAGTTGTTCCATTACATCGGGCACGATGGAGACGCGACCTCAGTTACACATCTACCAATAAATATACCTATAGCTAAACATTATTACCTAAATAATCATGTAATGTCATGATTAGTACTGATTCCTCTATTATGTAGTTAGTAGTCGCATAGATAATTTCTTTATTCTACCACACGATGTAGCGAACGCCATCATTTTCATGTAATAAGCCAGTTTTATATAGTTAAATAAATACATAGATTTAAGGTGCGTAATTTGATGGTAAATAAAGGATACTTACCGCAATGATTTTGTATTATTTGTAGATATCCTTTGCCTTTTCCTTGCATCTATCCAACGTCAAAGACGGCTAAACTGAAGCATGACCTAATCTTCTTGAATCAATGTATGATATATTGTATTTTGTTTAACTAAATTTATAAAAATCTGAAAATGAGTGTGAATCAGGGTAAACAGAAAATAAATGAAACATCATTATTTTGAACTAGTCAGATTGTATTATGAAGTGTATAAGGATCAATAATTTCCATTCAGATTTGAGTAGCATCCTACATAAAACCAAAATCTAATTTGCACACATCAACTCTTAATATTGATTATAGCAATAATATATAACTGTAAAACCTATGTCCCTTATAATTACTCTGTTTAATATAACGTACAAAATATATGTGTAAATGTAAAGTTACTTCGCAATAATAACAAAAAAGAAATCTATAATTACTGTTATCCATGGAGGCATGCAGAGGTAGTTCGGTACATTACTTATATACTGAGCCCGGACAGAAGAGTGCACAAGTATCGGCGGCCGCCTTCCGCTAGTAGTACATTCCAACTTGCACATTTTTCTGCTCAGGTTAACTGGCTAACTATATGATACTACGTCTTAAAATAATCCCGTACAGTTATCGAATAGTAGAAAAAAATGTAACAGCGTTTTTATTTACAATTAGAAGCTTGACGCACAAAAAATACAGTTTCTTAAAAGTATACATATCATGTCAAAAGTTTTAAAAACATCAAAGCGAAAAAGCTGATTATCAATATCCTTTCCATCTAAGAACGCATAGTAGGCCATGATTTGGCTAAAAATTACTAAAATCAGAATTCGCTCACGTAAGCTCGATGAAATCATGGCCGACTAGTCAGCAGCCTAACATCAATGTGCCTTAGGCCGATTACATATTTAGACGACAAGACTTCAACTATTATGTTCATAAAAAGCCAACGTAACTTCATGTACCATACATGCGTTTAAACGTGAGCAATAAATACAATACGAAATGCAGCTACTTAAAATACTTGAATTTAAAAAAATCACACTCATAATCATTGGATAATAAAAAGAATTACAAAGTTGATCGAATACGAAAAAATAAAAACAATACGTCAAGTTAAAATAATTTCACGATAAAACACATTGGCATAAAATAGTCTTGCCGGCAAAATAAGTACATTTACAATAGTTCAATACATTTTAGATGAATTAGGTGTCAAGGATAAAATTGATTACAGAATTATGTACAAAATATTTTCACAATACCAAAATGCGTCGCCAAATAACTCAGCAGGTTCGTTACATTATGTATACTTATGTATTATGCATTTTACTTCTTTAAATCTCTAAAATGAAGAATTTCGAATGAAAAAGTAATTTATTTAGCTTACTACATGAAACGTCGACCGGGTTTTGATAAACTTCACAACAGTACCTTACTTTACATATTTCCAAACATTTTACTTAATACATCTTTTAAATATTCATTTGAAAAATATCTTCTATAACTTTACCTTCTATGAATACGTTCATATCAAATTGGCTAAGCCACCTTCCGTATACTAACGTCATCAGTAGTTGACGACTCCTACTCCTGCTCTCTCAGTACGATCCGTTGCACGTCCTACCACATTTGAAATGAACATAGACTGTAAATCTGATATCATTTTATTACAAAACGAAGTTTAAGGAATTCGTTTGCCAGTTATCGCAATACCTCGAGTATCGCGGTCTACACATGTATATATGTCGTACGTATTTCTCAAAATTCGTTTTAGATATCCCTGTAAGTATAATCGTAACCCGGCCTGTACACCTTACACTTTAACACAGATTTAGAACGGTACCTATATTGTACACTTGTTGGGTATTGGGGTAGTATTATGTTAGCCATCATGTTTCGGGTGCGATGTGTGTCGCTTACTAATCGTTTTTTAACACTTCCGTTAAAATAGAACCACAATACCCTGTGTTCGACTATAACCTAACACCTAAAAGCTAGGGACAAATACGGTCGCAAAGGGTACAATGAGACAATTTCGGGTTGGATTGAACCTCTGAGGCTCGCCCCGACGATCGGCTGAGTTGGAGGCCTACTCTCATTGAACGAGATCTATGTCATCAAGATCAATGTTTCGCAGTACATTTACTTCAGCTACCGGCCGGACTACTGTTTGAGAAGAGTAGCCACAACCAGCACGTGAAGCGAAAGCAAAATGCTTCGATATCGAGCTCCGTTCTTAGTTATGGTGCAAGAATAAGCCTAAACGTGTTCTGTCAATGGCAGAGAAGTATTGGAGCCAATACATTTTTAGCCATCGACCGAAGTTTGTTGAACTAGTGTTCAATTGAAACCGTTGCATAGATCGTGGGTTTGAGCCCTGGAATTCACTTATTTACATATATTTGGACATAATAATAGAATCCAGCATCGTTAATTAAACCTCATGCAAGTAACTGTTTGCAGACCTGACAGGATACACGGTGCATGAGGCTGCATGGCGCTCGTTTTAAGATGCCTGCTATGAACCAGCATGTCTTGTAACTTATAGCGCTCATCCTACTATGGTGAGTAACGCTCACACCACTTTTTGCTCGATCCTAATATTATAATAGTTCACTGCGCTACTAGTACCCAGCCTTACTTTAGTTACTACTGTTACAACCTGTATTCGGTTTCTTTACCGCGAAAATATGCAATTGTCCCCTTTGCAACAAATTTTAACATCAAAATGGTATTCATGAATACAGAAGTTTGAAATAAGTACTATTTATATTGAAATAATGAAAGCCTCAGGTGAGGTTTAAGACATCCTTATATTGTATGTGAGTTAATGCTATGTATATTATAACTGTCACAAGCTCGCACGGAACTGACAGCGATTGGACGAGTCGCGCGGTGGAGACATTTTTTATACATTTTCTTATATTTATAATTTAGATTAGACATACAGATTTACAAACACCGACCACGACAAAAAGACATAGAATACTGCTATCATCGACTTGGCAAAACTTGTACAATTTAACGCCACATGAAGATATTTTATTTATACTATGTTTTTTTTTAGTTCGTCGTCCACCGCGCAACCGCCAATTGGGGAACCAATCTAGCGTGGTTATTGGTCGCGCCATTGCTAGCCGGACATCCACTTGCCCGGTTAGCGCATGCGCTTAATTTTACATTTTTGTAATTATCAAAGCATGGGATCGTTGGATCCGCTCATGCTAACATCGGCCTCGGCCGTGTGTACCAGGTCGTGTGTGATCAATGCAACTCTGCCCTATACCTTTGCAGGTGTCACGAGGCGCCAAATACTTGCTTCATTTTTAATTTTGTCGTTTTCGTGTCAAAGCCTATGATTATCCGATAGCTACGCCGTTGTCTATTACATATTTGCTTTCGTTACGTCTGACTTTATTCCGCATAAATCCCTGACTTATAAGTCGAATTTCAAGTTCAAAGAACTTATAATACCTAGCAGTCTTTGGATATCTTTATCACTAAGACCCCTCTCCTCCACACTTGTAAATAATTCTCTCCAAAATATATTTCGGAGTTAAATATTTTTCTTTACTCTTTTTTTAACATTTACATCAACATTTTAAGTTTGCAGCTTGATCCTGCTTAAGTAAACATTGTCAAGTTATTCTTGTTTTTGGTGTGGCAACACCTGTTTCCTTCGATTTATTTAGAATGCTCGCGCATCCATATTATGTAGCAACATTACTTCTCTATTTCCGAATGCACTAGGTGTGCGGCCCGCCCCGCCCGACCATGCAGAGCGCGGCGGTGGCGGTCCGACGCTCGCATGGTCGCGTGTCTACTCCACTACTCCCTGTGCATAGTGCGCCGGGGGCGGGCCGCGGGTTTCTATCTCCGAATCGCCGCATCGCGCGATTATAACATTGTTTGTACTCACTCGTTACGTTACACTCTCTAATCTTAACACTAAATATACATAAAAAATATCACAGCACTATCGATTCACTTACACTAAAATCACGACGCTTGGCGTCGCGACTTCCCAATAAAAATAACAATAATAATAAAGGAATCGAAATTCAAATGCATGAGCACACCGCCGTTGGCCCAACGTGATACTTCTACGACGACCTACAGGTGGAACCAGTCGGTGACACGTCCTCCTCTAGTGAATGCTTGTTAGCTCCTAACATACTTTAGGTCTTACTTAAATCCCTGTACAGTAGCACATACGTTATCATACCACCATCAATCGAAGAAGAATCTTTCTATAGAACATTAGGCAACACACTTGATGACTACAACTCATCTGGACTAGAAGTGACTATGTATGATTTCTGTCAAGTCACACTTACAAAACTGACGCTCCAGCCGTAGCTGATATGTAAAGAGCGGTCAAATTGCTTCTTGCCTAACATCCCTCAAATCCTAAACCTAAATACGACCAACGGCGGCCTCAAAAAGCGTCGAAAATGCAAGTGCCGCAAGTACCAAAATATTTACAAATGCAAATAATTTGTTCACCAAATCGTCTAACTCTAACTTTGGATCGTAATAATCGAATATAATACAATATTGGAACCGAAAGGACAGCAATTTAAAGATTTTACTGGCGTCTGTCGACCGTGAGCTGGAGAAACGTTCAACAGTAAGACGGACGTATTGCGGGCAATGTGTTTTGATCCAGTGGGAAGGTTATAGATGGAAATTATATTCCGCTTTTCATTCTATTTAATCTGTTACAGAATTAAATATTAACAGATGAAATACTCCATCACATACAACAATACACATTGCTGAAACTTGCAGAAACATGTATAATTGTTTTTATAAGAGACATGCGTGGTGTAGTACGCATAAAATAAGAATTAAAAATGCGAGTAAAACCTCGGAAGGTCCCATTGGATCAAAGTTAGTCAGTTAGAAATATTTATATTCGAGTTTGTGTCGCTGAGTCAAAGTCAATTTGAATCACCTCTTTTGAGGCTGCGACAGTAGTGCAGCGGTATCAAAATGTCCGCAGCTCCAATGACACAGAGCCAGAATGTTGCCCGCAGTACGTGTGTCTAGTCCGGTCTCACCAGCTCCTCATCACATGGCACATAACTACATTCTGTTCTACATCTGAACGACGAGGCATACGTTTAAGCAACAATCTAACGCGATAAACTTAAACAACTAAATGAGGTAGCATTATTATGAATATGATTAAAGAACATTAACCAACTAATGTTTGGTGGGATCTATGTTATATAAATGTATATATCAACAGTTACATTAAAATATTTCCTATGGATTACTGAGGTATATAGTAGTTTGCCTGAGGTAGCTGTGTGGGTGGCCGAGCGGATTCGATCGTAGCACCGGTGCAACACAAACAGAACTGTGGTATATCTATACAGGAGGATCTATCCGAAGCGATCGAACTCGCCCGGCCGGTACAATACTATTTTATTCACTATTAACATCTACTATTTATATGGTATCGCACGTCGGACACTCGAGTGCGACGGGGGAGTACAGTGTTTCAAAATATGTCGGTATTGAGAATGGAGAGTCTGTTGAGGTCGGCGTCGTCGAAGCCGTGGTATACCTTGGTGATGAGCGGCTCCCAGGCGGGCGGCGCGGCCGGCGCCTTCATGGTGAGGCGCGGGTCTATGTGCGGCAGCAGATGGTCGTCCAGGTCCAGCGCCGGCAGCCCGCAGTCGGGCCCGTACTCGCGCAGCTCGCCCGCGCCGTCCGGCGCCGTCGCCGCGCCGTACTCCGCCACCAGGCTGTCCAGCTGGGATACGTCTGCAATACAATACCAGCTCGTTAGCGCGTCGGTACAAGGCTTCACTCCAGGGACCTCATCGTAAGGAGATGGCCACTTACCGAAGTCAAATGTAGTGTTATTTACTGGCAGCATATCTGTAACTGTATACTGTATATTTTCTTGTAAACTTTCTATTTTGAAATTTTCATTCGAGATGCACCAATCTTTCTCAATGATTGTCGGATCGAGGCTATCCATCGTACTATCGTCCGACTCCATAAAACAGTTTGTTTCTATAGACATTTCTGAGCTCGTAGAATCGATTCCTGATTCGATTTTCATTTTAGTATCGGTATTGTCGTTTGCTGTAACGGGAGATGGTCGAGTAGCAGTGATAGTTTTGTTCTGATTATCTTTACTGTTTTTGATATCTTCTTTGTCGATGTTGTGAACGCGGCGCAGGTGTTTGTACCAGTTGGGATGACTCGCGAAGGTCTTGGGGCAGACGGTACACTTGTACGGCCGGAAGCCAGTGTGGATGTTGAGGTGCTGCTCCAGGACCGAGGCCTTCATGAAGCCCTTGTTGCAGACGGAGCACTTGTGCGCGCGCAGGTCGGAGTGGGTCTTGGAGTGCTGCACGAGGCGACTGCGCAGCGAGAACACCTTGCCGCACACCTTGCAGACGTGCAGCACGGACTCGAAGTGCGAGGGGATGTGCTTGAGGATGAGGTACTTCTCGCGGTACGTGCGCGCGCACACGGGGCACGCGTAGCTCTTCTTGCGGTGCACGTCCAGGTGGCGCTCGCACGACCACAGCGTCGTGAACTGCAGGCCGCACTGGCGGCACCACGGCCCGCGGCTCGCGCGGTGCGAGCGCTGGTGCAGCAACAAGTCCTTCAGGGACTCGAACCTGCCCGCACAACATGTCTGGTCAGTAGGGGCCGTACAGCGGCATGCAGTAGCAAGCGAGGGCCTCACGTGAGCTGGCAGCCGGGCTGCGTGCAGCGCATGGCGCTGGTGTCGTGCACGACGCGCGTGTGCTGGCACAGGCGGCGCGGGGACTTGAACCCGTGCCCGCACTCCCCGCACAGGAAGGGCTTGTCCCCGGAGCCCTCCGAGTGGTAGGCCTCCGTGTGGGTCACCAGCAGGGACAGACGCGGGAAGGTCTTACCGCAATCAGTACACCTGACATCATCACATAATAAATTCCACATGCAATAATAACTTATCAGTTAAGTGACTATATTGACAAAGACAAATGTTGTGAATGAAAGCATGTATTCATTTCATTCCAATTAGCATGAAGGGGAAACATGATTGTAGACAAATGGTTAAGGATTGTTAAACTTATAATTGACAAATCCTAACAACAAAATAGTAAACATTTGAAGTTGACCTTTCTGTAAAATAATTTACAATAGCAAACTGTAGTACTCACTCAAATCTATCTTTGGTCATGTGATTATAGCAATGGTTCCCAAACAAATGATACTTGTCATACTGTTTCCCACAAATGTTGCAGGAGTATACCAGTGGCTTGTCTCCATGTTCTGTAGTAAAATGTGTGTCAAACTCTACTCGGTTCTTGAATAATTCGTCACAGTAGTTACAGAGGACACCTCCAAGGATATCGATGGAGCAGTGGTCCCCTATGTTGGAAGCGGTAATGTCTTCGTCGGTAAGTACTTCGCCAAAGTGATGAGTAAGATGTTTAGCAGCGTCCACCTTGTTGTTGTTTGTCTCGTTGCAGATGGGGCAAGTGTACAGAGTGGTGCAGTGCTCGTCTATGTGGAACTCGCACATGTCAATGCTTTCAATTGACTTGCCACACTCTTGGCAAAAGTACGGAGGCTTGTCCTTGCCATGTATGATCTGATGTGTATGCAATTCTTTTTTAGATGGAAATCTGCAATTTTGAATTTTAATTTAATAACCAATATCTGCCTAAACCAGGGAAGCCAGAAGTTGGGTTTCAGCTAAACTTACAATTTTTGGCAAGGTTCACATTTGAAGTTGTGAGTTGTGTCAATATGATTGTTCAGAATTGATTGTTTCGAAAATGATCTGGAGCAATGTTCACACCTAAAATAAAAATACAAATTGATTAAGTTCAAATAACCCATATTTACAAGTGTACACAGGTTGTATTGCCATAGCAACGACTTTACAGATACAGTATAACAAACTTGTGTTGTTCTGAATGTCCTTTCATGAAAATACTATTTCAGATAAAACACTGTTTGACTCACTCAGGACTCTACTGGTGTAACAAAGCTTTTTGAGCTGATAAAAGTCAGCTCAAAGAAAACAAACCTCCCACAAATTCTAAAGTGGTTGGCATGAATCATACTGTTAGAATCATTGACTGATTCAGATTCTTTATTTTTAGCACGACAATATTTTGAACAAAAAAAAATCAAGACTGCAAGTTTTTTTTTACTCACTTGTGCTTGTTTTTAGCAACATGAGCCAAGTAGCAATGGTTACGGAAGCTAGGGTAGCCGGTAAACTGTTTGCGACACACGACACAGGTGTACCCAATGTCGGCATCGCCAATTTCATGATCCACGTAATGAATGTCGTATTCTTTCTTGTTACTATATGTTGACTGACAGATGGTGCAGTATATCCCGCCGACCAAGTCTATGGAGGTCAGCTTGCGGCCCAGCACGATCTCTGCCTGCTCCATCCAGCCCGCGTCCGGCTGAGTCGGTGAAGCCATCACTACTCTTTATGCTAAGTATGATCCATCTATAAGCCTACATCGGTGTCAAATGGGTGTTGGGAACGCTGCTATTGCAAACATCGTACCTACTGTAATTTAATTTGCGGCTACATGTTTATTGTACTTTAGATTGCCTGAAAAAAAAAATGTCGGCATGAGCGATCGCTGTGACCTTGGGCTTAGCGAAGGAAACATCTTGATCTTTACAAAATTAATGACAATGTATCACGGTCAAGTTTATGGACCGTTGTACAGTTATAAGTAAAACATTCATGCCCTCACTAGACCATCTTTATTCATCAATAACTTCTAGGTTGTTCAGCCATTAGCACTGAGAATTGAGGAATCGCATATCATCATACCAATGGAAATATCATGCAATACTCACAAATTTTGGATAAAAACAAATGTGCAGGCATTGGACAGTAACCTCACACTACATTTTATTTTGTAACTGCAGAAATAAATGATAAACTTTAATAAAAACGCAACGCCGGATAACAAACAACGCCAAGAAAACGTGTGGTTTTTGATTTTCTGCGCATTTCAGAACTAAAATTCCAATTATTTAGCATCACAGAAGGATAGCGTTAAGGGAAACACTTGAAGGAAAATGAATACACAAATTTCATGTACATAAATTCTATTACATTTATACCTGGAACGCTACACAACAGATTACCGAAAAATCGATGAATGAAATGTTCGTTCAAAAATTGCAAACTATGACACTCAACAAGTTAAAAATCGATGATGCTAATTAACTCTTATTTATTTGCGACAATTTACCTTTCAGGAAACGAATTATTATTCATATTTACAGTATAGTTTATTTTCCTTTTATTGCCATAAAGTTGGAAATGGATGGAAATCTAAAACTTTCTATGTCATACAAATTAATCAATGGTCGCTATTCACCGCTGTCATTTTTTTATCAATACAGACGTCTATTTTTATTTTGTAATTGTGGAAGTGGACAGCTATAATAGATAACGATTTGTATTCTTGTTCAATTATTATCAGTTTTTCAAGCATACGTGAATTTTATAGCAAAAATTTATGGAAGTGCAGATTTTCAGTGATGAACTATGCTATTTACAATAGTTATTTGCGATTTCAGCAGTGATTGTAAGTAGTTGCAATATAGCATTGATTTTTCGATATTATTGTGTTTTATATAATTTTTACATTAAATATCCATAATTATGTTCAAATTTAATTCTTATTTTATTTATTTAAATGCTCCGATGCATATAATATTACTTAAACTATAATTACTATACATGTAATAGATTTCTAACTCGTAATACAATCAATATTTAATACGCTACTTCGTGGTACTCCGAGTCAACGTTCCAGTGAGTTTCACACTGTAATGTTTTGTAATCAATGTCAAACAGCACTATTGGCGCGTTGCCAGCAATAGTCCCGAAATAGTTTACGCCGGCGTGATGATATTTTCCATTTACTCCACTCCCTGTTTTATTTGACATAGCAATATATTATGGACCGACACCACCCACTTAACGCGAGTTTCCACGGCTCCATGAGGAGCAGGGATTCTTCATCAACAGTTGGCAGTGATGCAAGAGAGAAGATAAAAGACTGTTTCAGAAAATTCATAGCTTTTATGTTTACACAAGTGGGTGTCGGCGCCCTTGTTGTTTGCTACGCTATCCTAGGCGCGGCGGGCTTCATGCACATTGAGAAAGATAGCCCTGATGTGCAGCTACATGAAGTGAGGCGGCTCCGACAGAACTGTGCAGAGGCCCTGTGGAACATCACTATTACAGACAACTTATTCAATGAAACTGCCTGGGTGATTAAAGTGAATGAAGTACTCAAAGTGTTCCAAAATAACATCACAGCTGCCATTCACACTGGCTACAATGGCCGGTCCGCTGAGGACATCTGGTCATTCCCAGCAGCTCTCATGTATTCCCTCTCAGTGTTCACTATGATTGGATATGGGAATATTGTACCCAAGACAGTGTGGGGCAAGATTGTGACTATAGCATATGCTTGTTTTGGTATACCAATATATGTTTTGTACTTCTGTAATATGGGCAAGGTGTTAGCTCAGTCGTTCAAGTGGTTGTACATAACTGCCCATGAGTGCAGCAGAAGAGATGACACATTGTTTGAAGATGGAGAAATGCAACCGGTGAAGCGGAAGATTACAGTGCCATCAACAGCCTGTTTGTGGGTCATATCTTTCTACATAGTCACTGGGACGATAATGTTTGGAGCATGGGAGAAATGGAACTACCTGGATTCTACATACTTCTGTGTAATAAGTTTGTGCAAGATTGGCTTTGGTGACTTCGTGCCAGGTGCCAATATAGCTGACTCGGCAGGTGGCTCTCATTTGAAGCTGGTTATCAACTTCATCTATGTTCTTCTGGGCATGGGTCTAGTAGCTATGTGCTACAACCTCATGTGTGAAGACGTCAGAGTGAAGGTCAGGGAGTTACGGGAAGATTTGAAGAACTGTCTGGATGATATTACCCTGAAGATCACTGTGTGTATGAATGACACTAAATACTATCACCAGAAAAATAGTCGGAATGTAAAGTGACTGTAATGTACTAATTTTATAATTTATTTAAGGATACATTATTGCATATAAGTCAATAGCCATGTTGTATAATTTATTTTAATTAATAAATGCATTTAGTTACTATAACTTGTGTACTCATTAAAAATCTTCCTGAACCACATTAACTGTAATCTCAAAATGAAAGCAATAATTGATTTTAAATTTTTCCTTTATATGATAGCAAAAATCATCTCCATATTTTTCTACAGACCTTTTACTTTGGAAGCAATATCTTCTATCTGAATTATTCAAAATTAGCAGTACATAGGAAACTATGACAGACAAACAGACAGATGAAAATCTGTCTGTCTGTCTGTCTATTTGCAATAAAACATAACACATGAAAAAAATGTTTATCCATTTGCAATGGTGTGTCATTACTTTCGAGACTTCTTGATTCTACAGGAAAGTATAAAACTAAAATGAATTATATGTTAACTACTGTGGCGAAAACTGCTTGTGCAATGCTGACAATTAAATATAATCTAGTTCGAAATTATAACAGTGAAACATCAACAATTAGTGTAAGAAATCGCATCATGCTGCCGGTGCGCCTGCGACGCGTCGTGGGCCACGAGGGCCGGTCCAACGACGCCCTGTTCCAGCCGGCAGCCCGCGCTCCGCCCCTCTCACAGCATACCCTGGTGTTCTTCGGAGGAGATGTACAGGTTTGTGTGATGTGATGATTATCAACCTATGTGTCTTTGTAATAAAGACGGAAATGTATTGAAACAATATAGATATGAGAAGAATTTGCTGATGTCTGTATTGAACACTCACATGAAAGCCAAATTCTGAACAATATTCACTGGTGTACTATATGTAACTGAATCAGGAATACCACTGACATAATGGGTGATGAATTTCACACAACCATCTATTTATTACCAACTCACCTAATAGGCATATCCCAATTTAAGCTTATATAGAAAAGTTTCCACATAGGTATTCATATTAACCGTTCCCTTAGGACTACCCAGAGCTGATGCAAGCTCACCGTGACAACAGGAACTACATAAAGTGGAACCTAGAGAACACAGTGCGCATGCTGGGACACAACTTCCCCACCAAGCACATATTGGCTGTCAGGCCTTCCAGGTAAGTCGTGCTCCTTGACCTACCATCGACCTTGACTAACCAACAATTTGGAAAGAAATAGTAATTAAAATTGTATTGAAAAAATAATAATTGAAAATGTGTGACTAACTCTTAAATTGATGAACCTATTTTGATAGCATTGGGTGGTAGGTACCTTCCTAACAGAGAGTAAAGTGACTACTTTTGTAGAAAAAGAAAATTTTAACATTAACTTAAGTTGGTTGAAAGGTGAATAGTCATAGACTTGTTATTCAGTCATCAAATGTTCCATTTTTCATACATAAACAATACATAAACAAACGTACTTCAGCGCCCCAGACCGCCACCAACTAAAGGTCCCCAACTAAACCTTTAGTTGGTGGCGCTCTGGCAGAAGTTAAAGAAGTACTTTAATTTGTATACCATGATAATAAAATATGATTCTCTTCCTCCATCAACATTCCTTCTAATCACAGTCATAAGTTTTCTCTGATTACCAAAGCTTTGGTGCTAAGGAACATAATTCTATATAATCGAAGTAGGTACGTCGGTGGTTCCAGGATAGAGTACAAGAGCTTCAGCTGCTATGATAACTTTGTGCCCAGTAACAACGCTGGAGTGCCCGAACACACTCCCACGCATAGCGCCCTACATCATCTGGAGAGGTTTGTAGCGTTTATATACTTATTACAAGTAGATAAGGTTGGTTTTACCTTGTGATAGTGCAATAAGTGTATGTATTATTTTACTGCTATTGCCTACCTTGGCCTGGCTGAGTGGTCGCAAGTGCTACTGCTGGGCAAGGGGTATTGGGTTCGATTTCCGGGTCGGGCAAAGTATTGATGGGTTTAAAAAAAAATCAATAGTTGCACGGAGTCTGGAATTGTGTCTGGTATATGGCAATAGGCTCACGCCCACGCTTTACATAGGACTCGTAACATAAATAGTGAAAAAGTGGGTGTTACATTGCACAGTGGCTTTAAGTGCCGTAATGTGCTCCTCTACCTACCACTTCTAGGATAAAAGGCGTGATGTTATTTTATTATTTTAAAATACTAAGGCCTAAATTGTCCCCAAGTTTCATATAAATACAATCCTCCATATTAAACTTATCTTTAGTGATCAAGAAGTATCAGGTTCGATGGTCAGGTCCAACAAGAAATATTAAAATTTTAGCAGTAGTCGCGAAGGCTGTAACCTGTAGCTGTAGAAAATAGGGTGTAAGAACGATTTACTATCACCTGATGGTAAGCATTCGGCGTCGCCCATGGACACCTAGAACACTAGAGGCGTTTCAAGTGCGTTAACGGCCTTTTAGGATTAGGATTTTGAGGATTGTTAGGGATTCAGGAATTGGCCCTCCGGTAACCTCACTCACCCGACAAAACAACGCATGCAAGAAGAATGGCTCTCCCACACTAAAATACCACCTTTGTTTCTCATTAGGCTTCTCCAAGGAGTCAGCAGCAGGATAAAGAGTTTCTCCACATCTGAGCTGGTGGAGGCATTCTCGCCCGTGTCTCTACCTGAGGATATCGACATAGAAGATCTACATGTGAGTTGTTAGTTTGTAAAAAGAGCAATAGAAATAATTACAACATTTGTTATACAATACTAAATTATTTATTGTACCTACACCATAAACCTTTATACCTTCAAACAAAAACTATAAGAATCGTATTTATTATCCGACTGCCTCGTTGACCTAGTGGTCGCAAGTGCGACTGCCGGGCGAAGGGGTCTCGGGTTTGATTCCCGCGTAGGGCAAAGTACTACAGGGTTTTTAAAAAAAAATCTCAGTAGCAGCACGGAGTATAGAATTGTGCCCGGTATATGGCAATAGGCTCACCCCCTATTACATGGGACTCATAACATAAATATTGAAAAGTTGGTGTTACATTGTACAGTGGCATAATACACCTCTGCCTACCCCTTCATGGATAAAAGGCGTGATGGCATGTCATGACAACATTGCAATCTATATAAATGAAAATGAATTTCCGTTCGTTAGTCTCGCTAAAACTTGAGAACAGCTGAACCGATTTGTTCAAAATAATTTTTAGGCGGTACAAAGTCCGCCGCGTCAGCTAGTATTTACAATATTTTAACTGACAGTGTATCAAACTGGTTTAAGTCTCCGAATAAAACACAAATAGAGATTTTCAAATAGGTACTACCACGTCGAGCCAGTAGATTTTGGCTGACTCTAACAGGTGAAAGTAATTTTTTTACAATAGAATTTTTTTTTCTTATAACAATATAATCAGATTACATTCCACATACAATATCTCAGATTAAGATTATAGATTACAATGTACACGGTAATCTAGCTCAGCTCAGTTATCTGCGATTATGCTGCTGTTATCAGTAATGCTTAATTAGCGTGAAGTATTTGATGAAAACGGCCACGGCTTGAAGTCAATGGATTTGCTTGAATGATAGTATTTATATAAGTTTGTGTTCTTTATCTGAACGATGGATGTGGATAAATACATTTTTGTACTGATATCGACTTATTGAAAAGTAAAAAATAGATCCGTCGTCTCGTAAGTGCGACTGCGTAGGCTTGAAGTTTGATTTCGAGGTGATTAAAAGTAATTGCTTGTTTAGGAACTAGCAATACAGTATAATAGGGCTTCTTCATATACAGCTTATAATTAATGTTCACGTGATAGATGTTTTTGGCAAAACTTTTTCAGAAATCCACTTTCCAATAGTGCCTACTTATATTAATGTAACAAAGTGTCTAATTTACTCTAAATCTATCTTAATTTTTTTATGGCATAAGCCAGTAAACGAGCAGACGGATCACCTGATGGTAAGCAATCGGCGTCGCCGATGGACACCTGGAACACCAGAGGCGTTACAAGTGCGTTACCGGCCTTTTGGGGATTAGGAGTTTGAGGATCGTTGGGGATTCAGGGATTGGGGAGATTGGGGAAGGGGAGGGTAATTGGGCCTCCGGTAACCTCACTCACACGACGAAACACAACGCAAGCGTTGCTTCACGTAGGTTTTCTGTGAGGCCGTGGTATCACTCCGGTCGAGCCGGCCCATTCGTGCCGAAGCATGGCTCTCCCACACTTAAATATACTTGCTATCTATACCTTCAGTGGAAAACTACGAAGTGTGAGACTGCCAATTATTGTGTTATTTAACTCTCTTATTAACCGCCTAGAACTCAGCGATCCACGCCGCGGCTGCAGCGGAGTCGAACAAGTCGAACGGTACGAAGCCGCAGCCAGGCAGCTCGCAGTCTGCGGACAATGTCCTCGCTGAACACAAGCCGTGAGTAGGTTTAGTTCCAATGGATGTTGTCTGTACCCTACCACGTATTACGTCACATTTGGTGGAAACTATTCCTATATCCTCTTAAGATGGTTAACAGATTTTTTTCTTACTCCTATCAAGGGCCAAACTGGACAATAAGAGAAAAACTTTTCGCTAGCAGTTTTGATTTTACCCCTCAATTAGTTTATTTGAGGCCCAAGCCAGCATGATGCTTTTAAATTGATATCAGCTTTAGTTGCTGTGGTAGGAAATGTACAGCAAAAATATCAAAAAATCTATCTATCACACTTGTCTTAATTTTTAGCATAAATCTGTCAGAAATACACCACTAGTGTAAGACACTATGGCAGTTCTAACTTTTCTCTCCTGTAATAAACTGATATTATCACTTAACACTGGACTTTCAATATGCCAAAAAGCATGTGTTACTCTTCTCAACTAGTTTTGTGATCATCACCTAATCTTAGCCACAATTATACCTAATATTGCATGTCATTACTTAACACGAAGCGACTGATTGACTTTATACGTCATTGTTCCAGTGAGTCAGATCCTTTATGGTGGCGGGAGAACTTCGCCCTCGACGAGACGCAACTGACGCTGGTCGGGTTCAGTAAGGGATGCGTCGTACTCAACCAGCTCATATACGAGTTCCACTACACCAAGACCCTGACTCCTGGAGACGCGCATATGATGAGGTGAGATGGTGATGGATACACCATAACATCTTACAGTCAGGTTTCCCTAGTAGCCTGGCGCCGGGGTATGTTGCACTCTTTGCAAGACTCTGTCATTGTTGAATTAGCCACGTTATGTTAGTATGGGAAACATTACTAGCAAATTGAGAAATCTAAACTTGTGGTTCCTACAGTAGGAGCCAATAAAAACAGTATGGTAAAAGTCCTGCTTACTATTATTCGATTTATGTTTAACTTATCACCAGATATAGTAACATAGTATAACAGACAAAAATAGTAAATGAGCACCAAAATAAAACCCGCGTTTTAATGTAAATTTATAACCAAAGTTTTAACATTTCGTTATCCTATTTAATCAAAATGACTTCAAAAAAAAACATTATCTACCCAAAAGAAGTAAATGATCACCAAAATTAGAACCGTAGATTAATATGAAACTTTTTTTTAATGGGGCGAAATCCTCATGGACTGCCTCCGCCTGGGGAAAGACGAAGGGGTGTGCCGGACACTTACCGGCTAAAACCACACCTCCTCAGTGTCTCCTCAAACGTGCGCGCGGGGCCGCGGGAGTCCAAATTCATCCGCAGCCCCGCATATTAATATGAAACCTAACCTAACCCATGTAGCTATAGTTCGGTAGCTCCGCTTGCTCACCATAACTTCCACCATACCATTCTGCCTACCATGTCAGGCTGCCATCAACGGTGATCATTTACTACATTTTTGGTGTTATGTATTTATTTCTGATAAAAGAACTTAGGATATCAAAGTACTTCCTAGTGGTCATAATATTTAATCCCTTATTATTTTATCGTCATTGTATGTGTACAGGTTCATGGAGCGTATAGTGGACATGTACTGGTTGGACGGCGGCCACGCGGGCGGGAAGAACACCTGGATCACGTCGCGCAGTCTGCTGGAGACGCTCACTAGACTCGGTACGTCCAACTCTTTGGTACAGAACCAAATATATAGTGAAGCATGTTTTCTTCAGTGTTACTGTTATTCACTGTAATAGGAACGATGTAACGTTTTTTTTACCAGAAACAAAATGTGTAATTTTATATTGATGTAATCGGGTACATCGAGAAACATCTTGTTTACTGGTGCAAATAAAGTTATACATACACTTCAATACATCAACAGCCTATAAGTGGCCACTGCTGACCAAAGGCCCCTTCTCACACGGATAAGGTTTAAACATCAATCACCACGCTTGCTCAATGCGGGTTGGCAATTTCTAACTAATAAATAGAAATTATAAGTCTAGGTTTCCTCACGATGTTTTCCTTCACCGTTTATCAGTGATGTCCAAATAATCTTAGAAAGTACACATAACTCGAAAAATACTTACTGTTGGTAGGTTTGAACCCGCACCCTCATGCATGAGAAGCAGGCGTCTTAAACTTTCAAGCCACCACGACTTTTCAAAACATTTATAATACCACTTTTCTAATTCTGCACAGAAAAAAAGCTTATTAACTTATAAATATTTTTTTCTGAATACATATACATGACTCGCTTTTGTCTCATGAGGAGAGATAGAAACCACCCAGTGCGATACCTATGTCTTAAACAAAGATTTCAATTTGTTTCAGACGTCAACGTCTTTATCCACGTCAGTCCTTACCAAGTACAAGATGAGGCCAGACCCTGGATCGGCAGAGAGGAGAAAGCATTCACCAGCTTGCTGAAGAAACTTGGTGCAAAGGTACCCGATTATATTTATCTACTAACCATTTGATGTCAGTACTTATTTGGCTTTGAATTCATGTCTTTATTAATATTGACTACAGTTTATAAAGTTATGGAGCCGTGGAGGGTTTAACAGATTACTGGGACTCCGGTTCGAAGTGCAGGAGTAGGAACGGGGTAGGTTTTAGTCAGTAAGAGTGTGACACTCCCTCCAGACTCACCCGGGCGGGAGAAGTCATTAGATGATTTCCCCCTAAAAAAAGGTATTTAAGGTAAAGGTATTTGACAGTTTCTGTAGAAGTCTTATATATGTATATCTAAATCTATGAACATATTCAGCTACCCAAATCATCGAAAGTCTACGATAGAAATAATGGGGTCGTAAATATGTTAAAATATTTTAGAAACACCACATGAAATTATGGACAATGAAATTTGATGTTTCTCAACTTATTTTCTCTCGTCCAGGTGAACAGATACTTCCACGAGCAGCCCGGTATGACCCACTCCCTCCACATGCACTTCGAGGTGCTCGCCAACTTCAAGAAGATGCAGGACTCCATCCCAGCCAGCATGCCTGATACTTCCGATGAAGACGCTTAGACTCATCAATGCCATAAAAACCTTACTGGTACCAGCGGTAAATAATATATAAATGTGTTTAGTTTGAAGAAACATTGTTACATATTTAAAATGCTTGTTTATATGTTCGAAATGAACTCAAAAACTACTGAACAAATTTTTATGGAGTTTTCATCTGTGGAAAGGATGGTTCTCGAGGAAATTTTATTTGTAAATTATGAACCAGTACTACCTTCAATCTTTAGGAAAATAGCGTCCTTATCTTATACTTCTTATACTATTATATAAAGCGGAAGAGTTTGTTTTATTGTTTGTTTGTTTGTTTGAACGCGCTAATCTCAGTAACTGCAAGTCTGATTTGAATAATTATTTTTGTGTTGGATAGCGCATTTATCGAGGATGGCTATAGGCTATAAAACATCACGATACGACCAATAGGAGCTGAGCAGAGCGGGTGAAAACGCGCGGAAGTAGCTAGTTTTTTACAAGGCTAGCAGCGCACTTATGTATTCATATTCGCACACCATCAGGTGATCCGTCTGCTCCGTCGCATGAAAGAGAAAGCTACCATATAATTTTTGTTATATTAGCTTTTAGAACAAGAAGATCGATGTATCGTCTATCGATTTGAAATGTATTATTTTACTCCGGTATTTTGGAGGGTGTGAACTTTGAATTTAAGGCCTACCTTGCCACCTCTAGAGATTCAAATGTATTTGGCGATTTCTTATTTAGAAAACAAGAGATTATGTTCTAGTCAGCTGTTGTTACTCAAAGGTGGTAAAATTTTTGAATTGTATCATTATGTTGACGGACAGAACATTTTTTAATAATTATATCTATATGCTTTTAAAGTTCTTCTAAACTATAATTTTAACTTGTGACCATACTCTCCGTCATTTGCCATTGAAAACTTTATGGAAGGGAAAGCCAAATACTATTTTAGAAGTAATCTAAGATGATACTCTGATACTGTTAGTATACGGAATTCTATCCTATAAATGCTTTGTCATAAAGCCATAATAATAACTTTGAATATTAGTGGGCCACTGTACCAAAGAAGTGGTTCTGTTTTCTTCAGCCCTTTAGGGCCGGAAGTCTCGACATAGATAACGAAAAAATTCAGATCGCTAATGGGCGAAATCAATGTGTAACGATCTCAATCCAAAATATATTTCTGATTGATTATTGTTAATTTCAGCCAAAAATCATGAATTTCTTTATTGGATTCTCAACCTTACCCTTTGTAATTAAAGTTGAAAGTTAATGAAGTCATGAATATGTGACTCGACATCCGATTCGTCGTAATCATTGTCGAGACTTCCATCTGTGGCATTTACTTTTTTTAAGGAAAACGTTGGTATTGCAATGGAACTTGTATGAATATGGTTGTGGGGAGATTGTGAAGAGAAAAGACTTGTGAAAATAATGTATTATTCATGTATGTATCACTATTAGCACGTTTATGTTAGAATTAAGAATATTTTTTTAAATATTCCTATCCTATTTTAATTGTAATGTTAAGTTTTAAACTGAGTTATGAACTCTTTGCTTTATTTAAGAGATTTCCTCTCCAGAACTGAATTTTTGTTTATTTATTTATTTAAAGTATGTATTATTAATTTATACACCTATGTTATGAATTTTGTGAGATTTTAGTTGTTTAAGCAGGTCAATCGCACCTTGTAGATGTTATAAACATCTTACGCTCATATTTGTATAATAACATCGTATAGCATACAAAATTAGGTAATGTTCATTTAGTTTACCCAAGTCACTGTATTACGGGAATGCCCGACTAGTTTCGAGTCTAACCGGGGCCCTTAACTCATCGTATGCTTAACGGAAGATCTACGCGAGATACAATGTATTTTCTATAGTGTCTACTATACAGAGGTTCAAATACCGACATGAACATTATCTAATTGTGCGCTCATTGTCGTAGTGTCAGATTTTCATATTTGTAGTAGTAGCTTGAGCTGGTATTTGCCAGTGTTATAATCTGCAGTGTTACAGTACAATCATGCGTGTACTGATTTCCAAAATATCAACACGAGTTTATCATGAATGTAGACCTTATGTATAAGTAGTGTAAACATATTTCGGCCAATTTTCATACAACTATGTATTTTTACTATCAGTTGAACCTTTGGCGGTACAAAATTCATATTTTATAAGTATTATTTTACAAATTGTTATTTTTGTAAGACAAAGGCTGGGCCTACTGTCAATGAATTAAAGTGTTTAGGCTAAAAACGAATTCTTATAATTCAGTGTATAGTGTAAATAAATTGCTTTAAGATGGATATCTATTTGGATAAAATGAAATTGATCTCAATTTATTCGATGAATAAAATTATTTTTAAAGCAAATTTTCTTTTTTTGTTTTATCTTACTTAACCCTTTAAAGCATCGACATAATATTATGGGATCTGAAGTCTGTGCTCGAATCGCCACACGTATGACGTTATTTTATACTAAAGTTTCTGCCAGCGGCTTCGCCCGTGACCCCAGGGGTACAATGCCTATGTATTACTTTAGATTTAGACCATTATCTAATTCCGTTCCGAATTTCAATCCAGTCCCTTCAGTCGTTTTAATATGACTGAGTAACAAACATACACACTAACTCACATATTTTCACATTTATAATATCGAGTCAAGCTAATTTGAACCATCGGCCCTACAGTTACAGCGTAAAGTCTATGGATGAGTATTGTAAACGTAAGAGTAAACAAATATAAGCAGAAAGCTCCGAGCTGCTAAGCTATCGAGAGTTACACGTGTTATTGTGAGTCAACCATAAAAGATGAACGTGTGCTGTTGTGGGATATTATTTAGATCATTTTATGTAGAACATTTCCGTCATACATGATTTCTATGTAGCTTTAACTCTTAAGCCCGCACACGCATAGGAAGTTTAAAAAATGGAGTAACTTCTCCCGTTTTCCCAACACTTTCCTTCACTGGTCTGCTCCTATTGATTGCAGCGCGATGAAAAATATATTATAACCTCCCTAGGAATATAAAGAATAATTGTACCTAGTTTCGTTAAAATCCGTCGAGTAGTTTTTATTTCTATAAGGAACATACAGACAGACAAAAAAATTTTACTGATTGCATTTTTGGCATTAGTATCGATCACTAAGTAATCACCCCCTGATAGTTATTTTGGAAATATATTTCATGTACAGAATTGACCTCTCTACAGATTTATTATAAGTATAGACTAGCGACCCGACCCGGCTTATCACGGGTGCAACATGCATGTATTATACATATAAACCATCCTTAAGAATCATTCTATCTACTATCTATTAAAAAAAACTGCATCAAATTTACGTTACGTTGCGTAGTTTTAAAGATCTAAGCATACATAGGGACAGACAGACGGCGGCTTTGTTCTATACTATGTAGTGATACGATAGTTTGTGACTTTGTGTGTACCTATGTAGGTATGTTAATCACGTCTAAACAGCTAAAGGGATCAAGATGTAATTTGGAACAGGGATAGATTAGGGTGTGGAATAACACATAGGTTATCTGTTATCCCACTGGAACGCTAGTGAAGCCATTAAGCCACGGGGAGAAGCTAGAATTATTATAAACGAATGTTAAAAAACAACGACAATTTTTTTTCCTGTGTGTTACTTAATCACGTCAAGTCTGGGAGAGCCATGCTTCGGCACGAATGGGCCGGCTCGACCGGAGTAATATCACGGCGTCACAGAAAACCGACGTGAAGCAACGCTTGCGTTGTGTTTCGTCGTGTGAGTGAGGTTAACGGAGGCCCAATTACCCTCCCCTTCCCCAATCTCCCCAATTCCTGAATCCCAAAAAAACACAAACTCCTAATCCCCAAAAGGCCGGTAACGCATTTTTGACGCCTCTGGTGTTCCAGGTGTCCATGGGTGACGCCAATTGCTTACCATCAGGCGATCCGTCTGCTCGTTAGCCGGCTTATGCAATAAAAAAAACAGTTAAAAAGGTCGGGATGTAATTTGGAACAGGGGTAGATTGATATGGAAACGCAATCGATGCCGTTGGCAGAATCTAGTTTTTTTTTTTTATGGAATAGGAGGCAAACGAGCAGACGGATCACCTGATGGTAAGCGATCAGCGCCGCCCATGGACACCCGCAACACCAGAAGAGTCACAGGTGCGTTGCCGGCCCTTTAAAAAGGAGTGTGCCCCTAGTTATATAAATAGAGAGAGATACTAAATGAAACATTTTAATTGCTTGTTAACAGTTTATTAGGTAAAACTCATTTGTATAACTAATACAATTAACCAATGTACTACAAAATAAACCCGCTCTCAACCCAAATAAAAACATTATGCCTACAATTGACACTTACTGTGATATTAAAGACATAGCTTGCAGTATTACCTGTACGAAAACCGATTTGAAACACATCACACATCAAACTTAAAAACGAACTTTATCAGTAAAGAAATAAGGTTGAAACTTATTATGTTAAAATGAACAATGTTACATGCAATATTTACACTGATGACATCATTATGTGGGTTACACTGCATGCAAGTAAATACTAACAGTCGAAGTTAATAACCATTCTTATTCAAAATAGTATTTCATGACATATAATCCACACAATAAATGTCAAAAATGGACCTTAATCCACAGAATTAGGATTGCGATTGGCTATTAAATTCGGCCGTAAAACGAGTAGACGAACACGGCCTATCTCACTTAACATACATACATAATTATAGAGGAATGATTTATATCGATTCAAACTTAATATACAAAAACCAGAGATTTCATTGCAACTACAATTTAGTTAAGTAAAAAAAAATACAATATGAACAAGGACTTTCATACTGACAGATGATTTGTGAACGTACAACAATATACAAAAAAAAGTTAATTAAATTTCAAAATCCATTCAGGTAATGACAAAGAATTAACTCACCGATACGAAGTAAACGATAGAATTTTTCAAAAACTAACGATTAGTTTTTATTGTATACTGAAAATCAGTAGTCTACGAGTGACTTAGTATAATTTCTTCATTTGTCTGTAATACAACGAAATTCTATTACTAAAGGTTGGTGAAGAGATCTATTTATAAGTGTCCGGACAAACAAAGAGTTTGATCAGAATATACAACTAATATTATAATGCACTTTTTGAGGCAGAAGGCGTTTTCAAAGACGGATGCTTACATAGAAATATTCCACGCTAAAATACCGATCGAGAAACTTAACATCAATTTATTCAAACTACTTAGATACGATTATTCGGTCAGGTGGGGCATAATTGTACTGATTGTACACGATTTCATTTGGGTGGGGTCGTACCTACGACCTTAAACCTGAACTTCAAATACCAAGTCAACAGCATACTTCCGAAATGAAACTTGTATTTTTGTATAGATATTATTATAGTTGATTATTTCTACATACAATGGCGAGTCTATGTAAGCATCCACCTGGAACTCAGCTAGCAGTGAGTTCACATGTTCTCAAACTGTCCGTCCTTGTCTAACAGCAGGATGTTGGGGTTCTCCTTCTCAAACTCAGTGGGTTTCCTCAGCCGTTGCTGGTCAGTCCACTCTCCCTCGCCGGCGCCCCACTCTCCTACCTTCTCACCTATTACGTCTATCTCATCTTTAGCTCTCTGCTTCTCCACCTGAACAAAAAATGTATTTTAGAATTTGAAAGAGTAATTAGATAATAAATGGTGTTATGTGGTAAGTGACTACTGGTTAAATGGTTAGAAGTGCTGTCATGAAAGGGTCCTCTATTTTTTGGAAATAGAATACAGCCTTTGGACTGTACTGTGCATTTCCAGTGTATGCCAATACAGCAGCTGTAGCCAAATGCCATTTAGCGCTTGTCTACATGTAGAATAGAAAACCAAATTATATGGAATTGACGTAAATTTTGACACTTGTCAGTGTCATCCTCATACATTTTGATTTCTACTCTCTCTGTAGGCAAGCGCTAAAGTGGCATTTGGCTAAAGGCCCAGTTCTTCTATGTTACATGAGACGGTAAATTTTAAAAACTTTGGACGCTACTGGTGACTGAATCAAAGGTTATTGAACATGTTACTACTAGTGGTTGGACTGCTTAGTGCTAGGACATGAAAAATTGAAAGAACAACAGTAAAAATTTTGTATGTATTTGATAGGTTACATTTTGTTAAAAGGTATGATGGGGTTGGCATATCAAAGATAAAAACCCTTAATAAAAAAAAAACCTTAGTGGCATGCTGTTATGAACGTAATATTAACGATGGTGAATGATTGTGATAATGTGTGTCCGTGCGCGTGTATAATAAGTTTGCGAACCTGTTACCTCCGTGTCGTATTTAGCGAACTTCTCGAACATGTTGGCGTAGAGCTGCTTCTCCTTTTGCTTCTGTTTCGCGATCGCTGTCTTGCATACGATTATCTGGTTAGCGGCAGCCTGAAAGTTAAATTGACATCGAAATTAGTTGATAAAAAGTCGTATTACTAAAGTATCAGAAGATGGTAAAAAGGTTATGTGAATTACTTTAAAACATCACATTAATATAAGTGGCCACTGCTAATCAAAGGCCTCTTCTCACATGGAAAAGGTTTGAGCATTATTTACCATTCTTGCTCAATGCGGTTTGGCGGTTTCAAACTTATAACTTTAAAACAACTGCACTAAATTATTATAGTAACAATATTTATTAAGAAACAAAAAATTTGGGTGTCTACTAAGCTATCGAAGCGTTGTCGCGAAGTGGCGTTATAATAGTGACAGCAATATTTACCTTATTCTGTGGTTCAGCCTGCACAACCTTCTCGAAGTCCTTAATAGCTAATTCAGCTTCACCAAGTCCCAACAGAGCCTGGCCTTTCCTGAAGAGACCCTTGACATTGTTCTCGTCCAACTTCAAGGCCTTTAGAGCATGCTCCTTAGCCTCAAAGTGGTGAGCTGGTGTGACCTTCAAGTAGACCAAGGAGAGGTTCAAGTGTGCTGATAGAAGGAGCTCCTTCGCCTGGTTTCTGCTTTCTTCTGTCTCACTTGTGTCTTCTAGCATGTCTAGAAGAATAGAGGTTTTTAGTAAGATACCTCGTTGAACTTAATAACTACGTACCATTTGTATAGTATAGAGAAATCGTAAATGCTGATTAAGGTTTATTACAAACATAATTAATTATTGAAAACACTTTCCACATTTCATGACCTTGGGGTAATAATTATAGGTTAATAACACGCTACGACGCGACGATTGCGAACATAGCAAGCAAGTGAAACTATTATAAGTCAGTAAGGTATAAACCGATAATAGCTTACCTTCAACTAACGTAACAACTCGCTTATACATCTTGATGGCCAGCTGGAATTTGCTTCCCTTAAAGTAGTTGGTTCCCTTCTCCTTGAACATCTTCGCCTGCTCAATCTTCTCCGGCCCATCCATGGACCATACCTCTTTGGTTTTCTCAAAACTATTCAATTTCACTATGTACTCTACCACGGAGTTAGGTGGGACACCTAATTCAGCGTTTCCTTCTGATTTGAAGGCATATTTTGGCTGTATGGTGAGCCTGGACTTCTCTCCTTGCGCGAATTTCTCTAGAGCTCTTTCGACACCCTCGCATACTTTATGTTCACTGCCTTCTCCGAGAGGGAATGTGACTGTTCTTGTATCGAACACCTTGCCATCGGCTTGCAGTCTACCTTCCAGCTCAACTGTTGGTAAAGCAATAGTACGGTTCAGTCATATAGACCCTTTGTGCGAATCACAAACTGGTGTTCCGTGCGGGAATCGAACCCACTATATTATTATATTGCGCGGCAACCTATTGCCCAGCTACCGCGCCAACCATGCTGTCAAGATCAAGTTACAATCATCATAGAAATGTTCTTTCACTAGTGACAATTTCACCTTTATTCACAAAACGCTTGTCATAATACGAATCATATTTCATTCAGTCTATTCAAAGCAATACAATAAAGTATCACATTACTACTGTGAACTATAATGCAGCCTTTGTATACTGAAAACTAATCCTTTTTACATATGTCTCATTCTTAGAGAACAGAGTGAAAGTTGGCTTATGTACTTGCAATAAGGTACATAATTTCTTTGTAATGCAGATGCTTGGATAGATTTCATTTAGTAAAGAATGTTAAGCAATAAATACAAATTAATTTAGTTTAAGTCTAAATTTAGATTAGCAGTTTTGTTAATTGTAGTATATACACAATATGAAATCGCCAAGACTAAAATTCCGACATTTTATCGAACCCGGAAACCGAACGTCACTCAATTATAAATTACCATTTCACTTCCTTATCATATTTTGTGTAACTTACAAGTGAGGACCAATTAATGCAACATTTCTTTAGTTAAATACAGTAATATTAGGTATACCTGTAACCATGGCGCCGTCGTTGGGAGCGTCATTGCCAGCTCCCTGCTCGATGATGTGACGCAGGATGCCCTTGTTCTTGCCAGGAGACAGGTCCTCCACCTTCCAGTCTATCATCTCGATCTACAGAATAAACAAGAACTTTAAGATATGTATGTAGATGTAGCTAATCTATCTATATGTATAAATAAAAATGTATTTTCGTTCGTTAGTATCGCTAAAACTCGAAAACGGCCGAACTGAGTTACCAAATTTTCGTCTTACAATGTTTGGGGAAGTCCGGGGAAGGTTTAAAATGTGAGAAAAATAATTATGAGGCTGTACAAAGTTTGACGGGTCAGCTAGTTCAGATTAAAATTTAAAGTGTGTATCTTTTTTTTATGGAATAGGTTTGTTTGCCTCCTGCAAACGAGCAGACGGATTACCTGATGGTAAGCGATCAGCGCCGCCCATTGACACCGCGACAAACAACGTCACAGGTGCGTTCCCGGCCTTTTAAAAAGGAATACGCTCTTTTCTTGAAGGTTTGAAGGTTGTATCGGTTCGGAAATATCGCTGACGACAGATCATTCCACAGTTATGCTGTGCGAGGCAGAAAGCTACGTGACAAGCGCACAGTTGTGGCCTGCCAACTATCTATATGGTGGGGGGGATGCATATGCTGTCGTAAGGGTCGATGGCGAAAAGATGCGGCAGGATAAGGTCAAGCAATTCCCCAGAGCACTCCCTGTGGTATAAGCGATAGAAAATGCACAACGAAGCTACATCTCATTGCATTGCCAAAGTGTCTATATCTAAATAATTCATTTCTTAAATACAAAGACGAATTAATTATCAAAGAAGCAATAATCACTTACATATTCCTACTAAAATAAATCATTTGTGCAAATGACTTATTTTACTTGACATAAAGGGTTAAGTTAAGGGTTCAAGTCAGGTCATCTTCAAGGATCTTCTGACAAAAGACAGTCCATGGAATATCAACACCACTGCATTTCAATGAAGAAACCAAGCACTGCTTGAAAGAGTTTGCAATGACCCATAAATTAAAAAAAAAACTTCTACATAACTCCAGAAGAAAATCGAATAAAACGAAATGTATTTAAGTTGTTGATAATAAAAGTTACAAAACCACAATATCCTCATATGAACTAGATAATAAAATTATATGGTAATTATGTGGTTTGATGGTGTAACTGTCACTTCCTATGAACATGTTGTTTCAATAAGAAATATTGGTGAATCGTAGTAGTCACAGTATAGGTATTAAAGGTACTAGCACAAATACAATTATCATGTACTAGCTTCTGCCCGCGTCTTCGTACGCGCAATCCCGTTTCTCCCATTCCCGTAGAATTTTCAGGACTTTTTTCTGTCATAAGAACCTTCTCCTGACGATAAAAGACACAACAAAAAGAAAAATCAGCCAAATTGGTCTAGCCGTTCCCATACATAATTGGCATATTATGGTCTAAGACTTCCTAATTCACAGAAATAGGTTCTTACCTCGAACTGAAGAGTAGAGTTTGGTGGGATTTTGGGAGGACTGCCAGCAGCTCCATAGGCGTACATTGGTGCGCAGGTTAATACGCACACCTCTCCTTTCTTCATAGTCGCTACTCCTATGTCCCATGCTTTAATGACTGAACCTATGGACAAATAAATAGAGAATATTCGTTATTTTATTCATCATCACTATCATTGATTAACCGCACTTGACTGCACAGTGAGTGCGGTAGCTGACTCTTCATATGATCCACATATTGTTGTTTTGGGTCTGTGTCATGTGTATGTGAAGTTGTGTGTTTGTAAATGCACCCACAATACAGGAGTCCTAGTGGAGGAATCCTAGTGAGAGTTGTTATAGTGATTGACCTCCCAAAATCCAAGGGGATATTAACATAACCATGGGGAGATCAAGATCTCATGCTTATGTTAATCAGTAACAATATTATTCTAATTGGACTGTTCCAATAATATGTATATCTCTTTTACTACCATGTTTTATTGTACATCTAGAAGTTATGGTAGTGTAAATTCATTCCAATACATTTTTATTGAAAGCCACTTATCCAAACAACAAGATTGAAACATATAATACAAGAGGCAAATTAGGTGTTACTTATACAGAAAACTCATTAAACAGCTGTGCATTTAACAACGTCTTATTGGAAAACAAGAATGGTTGGTATGACATCTCTAACACCATGAGGATTTGAGGCAGGCAGAAGGTGCACATATTAAAAGAGGTTGAGCCTAATACATTTTATGCGAATTTAATCTATAATGTTAGCACGTGAACTGTAAATTAGGGCTTGTTATAATCAGAATCATTCACATTGATCCAAAATGATACAATAACTATTATTTCTAGCACAAACAATGTGTGCTCTAATAAATCTGATATTATTTATAGAATAGGTTAAAGATAAATCGATCAAGGTAACAAACCAAGAGGTCAAGTTTACAATAATTATAAATTGAACAATTAAAATGAGTTCGTACCTTTGCCTAGGTTGAATTCAAATGGCTCGTTTCTATCTCTGCTGGAGTCGAACTTGGTGCCATCCAGGAGTGTTCCTGTGTAGTGGACAGTGACCTGACATCCAGGGTTAGGAGTATCTGTTCCTGTACCCTCCTTGATGATTCTCTTCAACACACCGCGATCTCCAGTTTTAGTGATATCTACGCCTTCGTCAACAGTCATGATGAAAGATTTTTATTTAATTCGTTAATTGAAACTGTAACGCAAATGCACGTAAGAAAGCGAGAACTTTTAAATTGATTATTTTTTCTCGAAAACTCAGCAGTCGCGCGCCGGTCAACCTTTTCGAATGATTTGTGGTCCACAGATAAAACATGAGCAAGCGTGGTTTGTGGAATTTTCTAGATAAACTGTGTCACTATGTCTCTCTTTTTATCAAACGTGATAGAAAGAGACAATAAACAAGTTGATAAATAATTTCTCGTTCATGACTATTTGTACGGGATTTAATATATCTTCAAAAACTGCTAGTTTACTACATTTTCTTACTTAAACACTCAAGTATTAAAATTGGAAGGCTCGGCTTCTCGACAATAATATTACGACATATATCGGTCGCTAATTTGTTCAGGAATAGATTTTCAATTTTAAAACAAGATTAAAAGGTTAAAAGTTAGTATAAGAATTTACAATGTTTAAACCATTTTTTATTTGCAATTTACGTTGAGAACTTGAGAGTGCGACAACAACCTGCAGGATCAGAAGATAGTCAGAGTAAAAAAAACACGCAGCGCGGGAATTTCAAATTATTACTACTACCCACATAACGTACCAACATAATATCATTTACATCAGAGAAAGCTATCATTATTTATTAATTTGTTTGCAAAAACATAACTTTTCTATGGTTAGCCAAATAACAACTACGTCAGTGTCAGTTCCAAGTTCCTCTGCATCACTACGAACAAATTTACGTAAAATGCTGTTACGAGCAGATAATGTAGATAAGAAAAATTAATTGAAATAATTGTGACTCCTCTAGTGTTGTGAGTGTCCATGGTCGCTTACCATTAGGGGATCCGCCTGCACGGCTGGTTTGCTACAAATTCCATTTAAAAAAAATTCTTTAATATGTAATGTAGGTATAGTTTTCAATGAAATACATAGTTTTTTTTTACTTAGTTTGCGGCATCCTTACAGGGTTATCTTAGAAAACTGGAACTGGAAACTGATTAGCCATAACACGTATTATATTTATGTTGCTGGTGCTATGAACTTAACTGTAGCTATGAACCCACACATGAAGCAATAAAGAATATTAATTTGAATAAAATTAAAATAAAAAAAAATATACCATAGTTGTGATTTTATTCAATTGGTAATATACGTTACTATTATACTGCTCTGCTATATTATACTGCTACTCCGGGCAAGGGGTCTCGGGTTCGATTTCTGGGTCGGCCAAAGTATTACTGGGTTTTTTAAAAATCTCAGTAGTAGCACAGAGTCTGGAAATCGAAATGTGCCCAGTATGGCAATAGGCTCACCCCCTATCACATGGGACTCTTAACATAAATAGTGAAAAGTGGGTGTTACATTGTACAGTGGCAGTGCCGTAATGTGCACCGCTGCCTACCCCTTCGGGGATAAAAGGCGTGATGTTATGATGATATGATGACATTTCAAGCTATACACTCAAACAAGGAAAACACAAAGAGAAAAACAAATATTCATAAGTATGTACAATTTATTTATACAGGTGTTCAGTCTTTGAAGTTGTTTTTATGATAATGTAAGTACATTATTTTAGAACTCATGACTGACTTTTTAACAAACAAAACAATGCATTGCAGTAGCTCTTTGCATAGGTATTTTAAAGATAACACAAAGTTATGTACATTAAATGCCTCAATAAATAAATAGAAGCTTCATCTACTTGAATTATTTCAACATCAAATTGAAATATTTCCGAGCTGCAATTAAAATATAATTTCAACACACTAGAACTATCTAGCAATTTTAAAAGCATTTACAAAGTCTTTTAGTTACAACCATAAATAATATTGCTAACAAATATTAGGGCATTTTGTTACAAAATATCTATAAAACTTTGATGAACTTTGCGATAATAGTTTCTTGAATAAGTCCGTTCTCCATTCATCTGAGCCATCGCAGCAGTCACAAATGCCATCATTTACTTGACCAGACGGTATCACGTTAAATGTTACTGGCTTCTTCCTATACTGTGTCTCACAGTAAAATGTTCCGTTTACACAGGCATTTGTGCTCGGCTCATCTGTCCCATCCTCGCAGTCACAGTAATCATCATTCACCTGCTCAAAAGGAATTTTCTGATCAGATTTTAAACATTTAAATTCATTTAGGTGATCTGGTCTATATTTCGCCATTTGAGAATATAAGACACCATGTATAATGCCATTTGTATTTATGAACTTATCCTCCTCAGATCGCAAGTGCGTGAACGAATCTGCTTTCCTCTCATGCACTAAATTCAAAACTGGGACAACTCTGTTCGTGTTACCGGTCTCAGAAGTTATGGTTAAGAAAAAATACAACTGATAAAGTATGAAACATATGACCATGCACAATGTCAAGATTATAATGTTTTTCTTCTTTTTAAGGCCCATCATGCCGGCCATTTAGATACAATACTACACACTGCACTTTACTTTTCTCTGGTCAGTAATTTACAGACAATAATAAAGAAACACGGAAATCAGTGCACATATTTTTTTACATTACAAACGGTAACAAAACATCCGTATACGGCAGTATAGTGTTTTTGTGTGGTCGTGTCTATCTTTCTTTTTTGCGCCAGTTATTTACATATTTGGCAAAAAGAAACAAAAAACGTAGATAATGCTAAATAAATCAAAACGGGTTCATTTCTGAATATAACTGTCAGTCAGCCGCCAGCTGTCAGTGTCACAGCCATCCAACTTGATAAAACCACGTTTCAATTTACAGCAATCGTTGTAACACGGTTGAAGAAATGTAGCATCTCATGGAAAGCTGGTTTCTCAATAAGCTGCAAATAATTTTCATAATAGCCACAAGTTTTAGGTATATAAAAGTACTAACATAATGACATTTTCGGATTAAAACAAAATGTTTTGTGAATAAATCTAACAGTGTAATGGAATGGAGCAGTTGCTGCCGACAAAGTGACATTTCACAATCTGACAATTGACATCCCATAATGAAGTTGCGTCACAATGTCATGAACGGGTAAATAACAATTTTTAGTGGCCAATAGTGAATAGTGCATTATTTTAGTGTTATTTTTGGAGAAGTAACAATATTTAGCATCTATCTCGATGCGGCAAGGTTAGATGTTAATAATATCATGGATTTCTTGACGGTAAACCGTCAGGTATCGTCATCCTCCGAGAAAAAGGAAGATGGAGTGGAAGTCAATGAAGGTCTTGTGGTATGTTATTGGTTTTGTAAATCTATTCTGTAATATCATATAGGAGTGCCCAATTTTTATGTTTGACCTATAGGAAGCCTGTTTTCTTCTTAAAAATATCTTTACGTCAGTATTGGTTTGATATGAAACTTGAGAAATGGTTTTAGTTCTTATTTCTGACAGATTTTTGTATTACCTATATCAGTTTTATCTATTTAAAACATGCAATACCTAGAACATATAAACAAAAGGTTATTGCAATAATTTCAGTCTATATTAGTGTGAAGGCTGGGCCATATTTCAATATCAGTCATAAGGTTTATGTGTTTATGGTTGTCAATCTGTACCTTACAGTTAATGCAAGGCTAAGAACTAGAAACTAATTTGATGAAGTCATTAAAGTCTTTACAATGCCTGCCAAGTATAGAATGTACGTTATAAATTGGTAGCAGTTAATTATGCTGATTTCTATCATTATTTTAATGATTTAGTAGGTCATATAATTTGTCAACAACACTTATTTCATTTATATTGTTTGAAAACATAGCTTATTCCCTTATGATTTTGAAAAATATGTAATATGTAACTTTAGCTTAGCATAAGTATTATGTATTCCAACAGCCGATTTGGTGACCCGGGGGTGCAAATTGTGGATGATTTGATGAAGGCATGTCGTCGGGTATATTGCAAATCTGTGGAACTAGCATTGGATAACTCCTTGTATCTGATAAATGTAGCTTATTCAAGTTTTCACAGAAGAATCCTGCAAAATTCTAATTGGCTGGCACCGCCTTAATACAAGTTCATTTCGATGGACTTATTTTTAATATGTAAAAATGAGCTTCAAATTCATTGAATCAATAAAGCTATTAATATGTTGATATACATTACTGAAAATCTCCAAAACAAATTCATCAATCAACCAATTCTCAATCTGAAAATGAACAAATTTATATGAAAGTAGTCACTAAACATCAGGAATAAGGTCTATAATAGAGTTAATAGAGAACGGTCACTGGTGACTGTGTGGGGATTGAACAGTCAAATTTTACCTTCGTCTGTAAAACTGGATCTATTGCAGATACATGGTATTTACACGCGGTAGATTCGCAGACTTGCACTATCCCCAACCAAATGTACTTGAAATAACTTTTATATTATTTCTAGCAGTTATGTATGTATACCATTTATAAAGCAAACAAAATTAATCTTAATTGTTATTGAAATAAGAAAGATATTCACAATACTCTTTCAGACCTGAGTTGCAAACCCGAGGGTTGTGTCAATCATTCATGACAGTATACAATTAAAACCCTTACTATTTGCAGGTGGACAACTCCAAATGTGTTCTGTATAAAATAGCAACATTGTATGCCGAGCAGCTGATGAGTGATCTCATCCTTGAGGTGGGTGGAGTCGGCTATCCAGCACATCGGCTAATACTATGTGCCAGCAGTGAAGTTTTTCAGGTAAATATTTCATAAAATTTTCTCTTGAAATTTTATTTCATAGATTTTATAACCAGCTATGCATGTTTTATTGTCATTATCAAAATTAAAATTATTTACATTTATGCATTAGATATTCGTAAAAATCTGTTTTTTTACACCCAATCTTGAAAAGAATTTGTATGTTAAACTTTTTGTAATCCATTTAAATTTTATTTTATTTTTGCTGGCGACTCAAATGCTACTCAATTTTAATTCACGCTTAACCCATATATCCCTAAGCGGTCACCGGTGACCGCTCTCCACAAACTACATTATAGACCTTATTTCTAATGTTTAGAGACAACTTTTGTATGAACAAATTTAGGGGATGAATTTCAACGGGTTAAGTATAATTCTGTCACTACAAATTCTTTATAAAACGACAGAGATGGCACGATATTTAACTTCTAATCGACAATCACCAAACATCCACAACATTCGTTCACACAAAAGTAGTTCATAAACATGGGAAATAAGCTCTATGATTGAGTAAGTGGAGAGCGGTCACCGATGACCGCTTCGTTTATTGGTAGTAGTGCAACTTAAAAGTGGGTAGCCTTTGAGTATTCGGGTGGTCAGATCTAATTTGATTTTCGTTTGTCAGGTGATGTTGATGAACCGAGAATGGAGCGAGTGGCGTGAGAGTCGCATTGTACTCCAGGAGACACCTACAGCTACTTCAGTATTCCCACACTTCCTTAAGTAAGTAGACTCACTGAGAATATTTAACTGTTGTTTACCATTGATAGAAATTACTTTTTGGTATCTATCTTGAATAGTAAAAGTGATGATAAGGTAATTGGAAAGTATTGATAAACCAATTTTGGTATTTACCAACTACCTACCAAATCACTAGACTTTAATCGCCTGTAGCGCCGATAAATATGAACTAAAACAGTAAAGTACCATTTTTAAAAATGTTGGCTCGGATTTATAACTGCCAGGAAGTTTTTTTTTTCTATATTTTAATTAACAATATGTTTTGATTTTTTTTTGTTTTACACAGTTTGAAATGTTTTTTTTTTGTTACAGGTATTTTTATACTGGACAGATTAGAATATCGCATGAAACAGTGCTACCGATACTTTCTCTAGGCGATAAATATAATGTGAAGGTAAATATCAAACAAATATGTGTTTAATTATAATAGTGAAAGTAGTTTTTATTTTCGTATCATATTTGAAATGCTTATTTGTTGTCCAGGACCTAGTGACTCTCTGCCTGACGTACATGTCTCAGAACATAGCGCAGGCTGCCAAGCGAGGACAGCTCATCTCCTGGATGCAGTACACAATGGCCTGCGGACACAACGAAGTCGCTAAGGTATAACCTGCTTACAATTTGAATGAAATATACTAAAAATAATATTTAGAAACTCTTTCACGTTTTTTTTATTTGTAGTTTTGGTACTGAGAGGACATTACTCGCCAGTGGCTTTGTTTTTTATGGTATAGGTAGCATGTTACAAGTGCAGATGTGGTTTTCTGTGAGACCGTGTCATATCTGATCGAGTAGGCCTAATCGTGCCGAGCCGAAGCATGGCTCTCCCGCACTTCATATATCCTGACATCTTGACATATGATCATTTACATCAAATACTCAATATTAACACATTAAACACCGTGGGGGTCACCGGTGACCAACGTTAGTGGAGGATTTGCCTTCATCAGTTTTCTATTGGCAGTCAAAGGCTTAATAAATTCAGTAACCTTCTAATCTCAATGTCCATACCTTTACAGTCATGTCAGAACTTCGTGAAGTGGAACTTGGAGTGGGTGTGGTCAGACAGTGACCTCAGTGAGCTGGAGGGGGAGACGCTCGTCCACCTACTGCAACAGAGCGACCTCGTGCTGCATAACGAGATGAGCGTGTATGAGTATGTATCTCTAATGTCCTATAGCAGTATTGTCACAGTTTTTATGTCAATTGTAAAGAGTTCAGTTCCCAAAGAATA